TAAGACAAAAACATACTTAATCATGAAACCATAGTACACTAATCAAACATTGGTTCCATAGTATTACAAAAACCACTTTCACTGTGTCTGTTTCTTCTAGATAGTTTTATTCGTACGCACAACTTGCGGCGTTATTAACTTTGGTTGATACCAACGGGAAAATATGATCAGACAAGGTAGCCTTTCGGTCCCATAAGGCAATCAAATAGCATTGACTTCCATGATTAGCTTCGCTTCCGATACAAGATTCTGCACTTCAGAGAGAATTCTTCTGTGCGTTAAATGCCAATGGAACTGTTCTTTTTATTTTCTCTTTCGTTATCAAATGGGCCGTGGGAAAATTCCTTGCGATTTACGGCCCACTGGGCCTCCTCGGTAAATAACAATAAGCCCAAAATACAATCCAATCTTTTGTATACAATGATGAGTGGGAAAACGATACACCCACACCCAGAATGACTTTTTTGTCTCTTGGCCATATCAGTCAAAGAGATAACCGAAAACAGAACCGGTTCGGTTATTTAAAAACCGAACCGTAACCCGATTTACCCACCCCTATACATAACCACCAAAACAAAAGCATCCATGACAGAATAAAGAGTATGAAAAAGTTCCTAATTAACAAATCCAAAACCAAAACAAAAGTCCACAAAAGAATGCAATCTACCACAGGGTTTTTTGTTCAAAGCCGACCAATTAGAACCGGTTTTCTATTCAAACAGATTGAAGAGGGCATTGGTTTTGGAACTTGGCTGAGGAACAAACATCTTTTGGTCATCACTTGTTGTCACCACTTGAATGATTTGGTCACTCCCATTAGGGTTTGGGATGTCATGAACAGCTTCCCTTTGCTTTTGAAAGTAATCCCATTTGTCTTGAAAGAGATAGAAGAGGACAAGACAAGAGATCTCAACTGTGAAGAGCAATGCCCATATGCTCGAATCTCTTGATGATGTCTTGTGTTTGTATGCTCTTATGCCTGTGTACATGTTTACTATTCCCCCTACTGATACTATTGTACCCATCATCCAATGCAAAATGTACCATTTGATCCTCCTCCTGCTCCCTCTGCCGATACCATTTTGACACGTGTGAGAGTCTACATACATATACACATACATACATGCATACATGATACATACACACATACATACATATACGTACATGGAAGGCTTGAAAACTCCGGTCAAGAATTGGAGCCACATGGCAGCATAAAGAGCTAAGCCAAGTCGTTGATGAGTGTTGTCGAAGGAGTTCTCTAAGGTTCTCAGGGACATTATGGCTCCTGCTGTTGCCAAGAGCACTGCCAGTACCTGCCATTTTTAAACGCATAATCAATATCCACCTCGATCAAATTATAAAATCTTGATTATATATCTAGCGGAAATATAACAATTATGCATGAGGGATTGATCACCTGGGAAATGGCATGAAGACAGAAGAACACTTTCACCTTTCTTCCACTGTCGTTGAATTTATTGGCCATTCTAATTGAAAGAACCCCCAATGGCATTAAAAATCCCATGGAAACCCATAAGAGAAGCCCATGAATTTTGATGTTATATGTCATTTGATGACTCAACTGCCATATGAAATAAAAATTAGAAGAGAAAAAATGTTATTTCATTAATTACCGTCAAAATGAATATTAAAAAACGACAGTAATAATTACACTTTTCATAAACGTATAAAGGGGGAAAAAATCCTTCCATTAAGATCTAACAAAAGAGTTGGTTTGATTTATCAGTTACCTTATCTTGGAATGCTTCTTTGTTCTTGTGGATGCTTGGTGAATGTCCAATGATGTCCTCAGTGGATGAGGGTGATGCCGCATATGGTGGAAATGGTACATGTAAGAGAAGAATATAAGCAATCAGGACACGCCCTAGAGATTTAAAAGGTTGCATTCTTTCAATCACGCTACCCAAAAGCACAAATCCACTAACTAAATTCTCTCTCTCTCTCTCTCTCTCTCTCTCTAAATCAGTGTTTCATCATTCTATGAGAAATGAGAGGAAGACCCATGAAATATATATGCATGCAGGACACACACACATACATATACATACATCATGTAAAGGGGTGTGTGTGTATTTTGTCATAGAGATCATGATGGAGTGAAAGAGAGACAAATACAGAGACTGCATGTTCTTGTTGGTGCAAAAGAGGCTTTTTAAGTGTTGATTTGAGGGGCTGATTTAAAGAAATGATATTCAATTGGTCATAGAGGGGAGGGGAGGGGAGGGGCCATGATCATATGATGATGTTCATTCTCTTTTCTGTCTTAGATTCAATTACCAAATCATCCAACACAATCATTCTCAATATATGCATAGTCAAAAGAGATTTAAAACTATACATATTCTATGGACCTTTCAGTTAATAGATTTAATCTCTTGACATAAAATTGTAAAATTTACCAAAAAAATTAATATAAGAAGTACAACATTTATATATATATATATACATATATATGTGTATATAATGCAATTTATCTTTGGACAAAGTAATTTGCCTTGTTGTATATTTGATTAAATTTACTTACCGAAGTATAGTACAGTAATTAGGCCTTGTAATTAAAGGGACGAGTAGATTCTTTTGGTGGAAACGAGGTTTAAGACAAAACATACTTAATCATGAAACCATAGTACACTAATCAAACATTGGTTCCATAGTATTACAAAAACCACTTTCACTGTGTCTGTTTCTTCTAGATAGTTTTATTCGTACGCACAACTTGCGGCGTTATTAACTTTGGTTGATACCAACGGGAAAATATGATCAGACAAGGTAGCCTTTCGGTCCCATAAGGCAATCAAATAGCATTGACTTCCATGATCCATTTATGCTGAACTCTTGGACTAATCAGTCATCACCCTCATTCCAAGTTATTATATGTTTAGAAATTATATATATATATATATATATATATATATATACACGTATAATGAGAGAGAGCGGAGTTTTAGATAATTTGCTTCTTTTGTCAACTGTACAAATTTACGGAATGATATTTTTATTGATAATCAAAATAACATATAAGTAGATGAAAGTCTTACATTGAATAAGTAAAGTAGACATAATAATAAATATTTCTAAATATATATTTTCCAGATTTGATAAGATCTCCATTATACGATATATTTCGTAACATTCTTCAAGATCCGGTATATCTCAACACCAACGTATTCTCCCTCATTGAGAGCTTTATTAGAATCCTCTTTTTGGTTGTGATTAACATTGTAATGAGATAAAGGATTGTTTCTTCCTTTATAAAAACACAAAATTTGTATAAAAAAAATCGTACATATTCAAATTTCGGATCAATGTAGATACATCTGATTAAAAAAAACGAATTTTGGGTGTTTATCATATTCATTGTTTCTCCAAATATAAAAGATGAAGAAGAAATTAATAAAAATAAAGGAAGAAGCTAATTAATGCCACATTATTCTGAGTGTTTGGCAATGACGCGACGATGAGTGAAATGATCACAAATGCATGGGAAAGTCAATGATTACACGGAGGAAAGCATAAACAAAACTACATAATACACAAACTATTATGTAATATTTGGTAGGCTGTCATTATCGCCTTTGTTAGTTACTTTGATCTTGAAAAAAGGTTATTAAACCCTATACTATACATTATACATACTAAGAAATAAGTGGAATTTAACTTTGAATATCCAAAATCTTTAATAAAGTCTTTGCGGGGTTTCTACCATCCTATATAATATGAAAGTAATCTAAGAATACGTTAATGGGTTATAGACAAAAATTGGCCATAGGGACCAAAGTAAAAGCAAAGGGAGAAGAGATTTCAAGCAGAGATAAGGGCTACATAAGCTGCAGAAAGAGAGAGGAGAGACGAAAAGGCATAAGCCATTGCTACTATCACCGGCACTCTCATACCACACAGCTCAAGATGATGATGAAAAGGCGTCCTTCTGAAAACCCTCCGCCCTCTTCCCTTCAAACCTTTGGTCGCCTTGTAATATGCAACCTGAAAGATAACGCATTCGTCCATAAATGTTTATATATATATATTATATATATGTATAAGTTGCTGAAGATGGCAATAATCTCGGTATTTTCAAGTGTTTATGAAGGTAAATAAATTTTACCTGAACTATAACAGAAGCAGCTTCGAAGATGAAAACACCAGAAGAGATGAGCAACGGGAAAAACATTCCAGTGGAAGGGGCCCTTG